GCCTTGCCCCCAAACCAGCAGTCCATGACCTGTTGGCAGATTAGCAAGCACATTTGCTGTAACCACCACCTAGCAGTCCACTGACCATGAGTAACCTGTGACGCTGGCGATGCAAATGCAGGAAAAGTTACCTGCATTATTTACCCTCCTAGAAGAACCACCCACATTGGGCAGGATTTTGTCCTTAACATCTTATAAGAAGCACCAAATCTATGTGCTGGAATGTTTCATCTGGGGGTGTGTATTTGTGCCTTACTTGCATGTTTGAAGGATTTACAGTACTGGTACTTTACCTAATAGGGTATTACGTTCAGTTTTGGAAAATAGAGAAAAGTAAGTCAGGAAGAGTTCTTTTTTATCAGTACAAGAATGTTAGTTTTACACCTTCCTCCCAATGAGTTCTTCCCCAGCTCCTGAATCTGTTTTAGGTCGTGGGGTTGCGATATCCAACCATACTAATCAAAGCAATATTTTAAGTTTGCCTGTTTGGGTTTTTTTATACTGGAAACTAGCCATAAGGAAATTATTGCCGGACAGAAAATAATTTTCCCACAGTTGCGTTTTAAAAAAAACAAAACACTTTGATTTCTTTTAGCAACAAAACATTAAATTGAACTGTGGTTACAATAGTGAAGAATTCCATATGACAATCTCTCCACCCTTTGATCAACAGGCACCGATAGCAACTTAGGATATCTATCAGCAATGAGGACTGCTGACAGAGCATGGCATCCAAGAGGTTGAGAAACCATCAATCAATGATTTTTCCTATAATGAAGCTCTCTAAGCCATATGTATTGTACTTGAGTATCTGTATAGAGTACAGTGAGAGACAAGGTGGGTGAGGTATGGGACCAATAAATACCTGAAGAAGAGTTCTGCATAGCTCAAAAGCTTGTCTCTTTCACTAACAGAAGATAGTCAAATAAAATATATTACTTCACACCTCCCCCCCCCCGTTGTGTCTCATATCCTGGGATGAACATGGCTACAACAACACTGCAAACTACAGTACAGTGACACATTCATGTATGTACCTATCAGTGATGCATTCAGCCTGGTGAATAGAAGCCCTTTTCTTTACCAGTGTAAACTTCAGCAGAGTTGTAACAATCAGCACACAGAGAAATGCCTTGGGGAAGGAAATTGTTTGTTCTAGCCTGATGGGTTTACACTTTTTGTTGTTCTTTCAGAACCTTATTTTTTGACATTCTTTGCAGTGCTTTTCTTAACTAGAAACATACTCGTAATGTCTGGTCTCTTTAAAAAAAAATTAGAAATTTGCCCTTTATTTATTGACTGAAACCTGTTAGACCTCTCACATAACATTCAGTATGCTGTGCTCTAACTGGAGGAAATTTGGCAGTGTGCCATACAAATAATGTGTTTTCCAACCAAATCATTTTTCCTGCCATTATAAACTGATGAATTCGTTATCATTATGAATAAGGCCCTTTCTGAAATCACAAAATAGTCAGACTAACCAGTAATTTCAGAAAATTTCATGACCAATGTGTAATTTTAAGCATGCCATGAAAAGATTGTATTTGTTACAGTGCATCCCATCTGTGAGTGTATCAGATCTGTCAGCTGACCTTGCAATGTCAAGTATACAGACTAAATTGTCCATTGCCTTCAAAAAATATTTGTCTGGACCTACATTTTAATGCAGTAGTTTCCTCATGATCAAACTAGTCTCAAATGTTGGTAACAAATGATTCTTCAGGAATTCCTGCCTAATATAAATTTTCTTGTAAATGAGCCATGAATCCTGCCAAAACGAAACCACATATTTTACTTTCCTGGCTGTGCATACAACAGAAAATTGCACTTTCAAATGGAGGGTTTTGTGAGAGTCCTCTTCAGAGCAAGAGGAGGATTCACATTCAGTTTGTGAATTAGGTAATAGCTAAGGGACTTAGTCTACCTATGGTTGCACAAACCTCTTTGAAATCAGTGGGAGCTACATAAACAAACCCAAAAGAATTACTCCCTAAACTGTCAGAATATGTACCCACTTAAACATAGTAAGAGCTTCATTTATTCTCCTTGGCCCAAAATGTCTAGAAGACTATCAAAAGCTTCCTTTAGTGAACCCCGACAAACAGGGATGGGAGAAGTGATCTGGATAAAATAAGATGGGGCCAAACAAAACTCTTTTGAGGTTTTGAAATGTTTGAGGAAGATGTTCTCTCTGCTTCTTGGTTTTTTCTATTACCAGAAGAGCTAGAGCTGAAATAACATGGAGGAGGCTATTCTCACACTATTATTTCCAACCCAAACTGATTAGGAAGTCCTCAGAATCTTATGTAAAAATCGGTTCTGACAAATTTTCTCTAGAGAATAAAGAGTCACTGATGAGGTGCTGACAGTCTGTTTGTCATGGCATTTTCAGTCACCTAACTTGTTTGTGTTTTAAAACTATTTCTTTCTTTAGTGGTATTAATGGAGTAATACAGCATGATGCATGTGTAGTGAACATAAGGTTGTGTAAAATATTCCTATTTGCAGAATAGTATACTGTATTTGACAAATTATATATGAGATGAAAACTTTATTTTAAGGAATATGCACCAGGGGGCAGTGTTGAGGTTGAGAGCGTAATACTAATTTTGGAATTCATCTGAGTTCTATTGTATAACTTTTTAAAATAAATGTATATAAAAATAAACAAATATAGAGAAAATTGTGAAAATTGTTTCTATCAGAGTGAGGTACAATGACATCAGTGCCAAGAATAATAGATATATCAGACTTGCATCTGAAGAAGTGAGGTTCTTACCCATGACAGCTTATGCTCCCAATACTTCTGTTAGTCTTAAAGGTGCCACAGGACCCTCTGTTACTTTTTACAGATTCAGACTAACACGGCTACCCCTCTGATACCAGAATTAAATATACTGTATGTGTTTGAATAATGGCCATATCTAGAAATCTGCAAAGCCTATTACACAATATTTTCTTGCTTTTCGTGTAGTAACATGTCCACAGATGTGAGACCAACCTCCTAGTTCAATTATGCTCAGTTATTTCATATATTGAGGATAATTCAGACATTTTCAATGCTGCGGCCTTGGGATGCTCTGGTTTAGGAATAACCTTTGTTAATGACTATCAAAGTGTGGTCTGAGTTTGGAAGCTCCTTTAGAATATGTTGGATTGTGAATGGGATGTGTTTGATATGACATTAGATCTCCTTGTCTTGATTTTGTAGTTGTTAGTTTGGCATCACTTTCATTCTAGGTAAGTCTCAATATGAGACTTCCTGGATGTAGGATGCTCTCAGTTTGGGTGAGCTTAGTTTACATCTTAAAAAATGAATGGTAGAAAAGTACATCTTATGCATGAAATAGGCAACTTCAGATACTTATAACATTAAAGCTACAGAGCCAATATTCTTCAAAATTAAGAGTATTTTTTAAAATCTTATTGAATAATATAAAAACAAGCCCAGTTCAGGATTACAGCTTTAGTAATTTCGGAATTAAACAAGTCCAAAAGTTTTTGAGAGAATATGTGAGAAGAGTGGTTTCGTTTAATGTTCAAGTAACTCAAATGAATTGACCAAGTTTGCTGAAACCTTCCAAACAAACAAACAAAACGTTTTGTGTTGGGCATGGCCAAATATAGACATTTTGAACACAAAAGGGATTTGGAAACTTGAAATAAAACTTCAGTTGTCGAGGAGGCTACCTGTGTTCTCTCTGATCACAATCCAACAAAGCATTTAGGCATGCATGTAATCTTAAGTATGTGTGCGGTCCCATTGACCGGTCCCTTTAAGCTGTTTATATTATGTAGATACTGTAGGTAGAGTAAGTTTGCAGGTGTTTGGAATCATAATGTGACACCTGGCTCAGAAATTAGCAGACACTCCTATAAAACCTGATTCACACAGACTCTCATTTACAATGCTGCAACTTCGGTGACATTACAAGGGTTGCACTGGTATAATCAGGAGCAGAATTTGGTCTGTTTCCGCACTCTACACTATTAAATTGAGTGGATACATTCCCTTGCATCCCCCCACCCCAATTATTGTTGCATATTATAAAATTTCTCAGTTACATACAATTTCTGCATGTCTGACTAGATATGAACTTCTTAATTAAAGTCTTTTGCAGATCAGAGACAAAATCAAGGATGCTCATACTCCATGACAAATGTTATACAAGTGCAGTAGATTTCTTTCTTTCTTTCTTGTGGAGTTGAGGTTTAGCCTGATTCTCTTTATCCCTGTGTTTCATACTCTGACTTGTGAGAAATAGTTGCCTTGACATTATTAAAATTTAAAAGAAAATACCCACTAAAGGTATATAGGTATATACAATATGTATCATACAAAGCTAGTTAGATTTTGTGTTCATGCCTCTGTTGAGTGATACTGTTTATGTTCTGATACGCTGCACACAGACTCCTGCTCTGATTAAGTACCTGTCATTTCTGTGGGCTACCAAAAAGAAAACAATAGCGGTTGATCAGTGGTAATATGTTTAACATATTTAGTAGGAGCTGGCAGACTGGCAGTTGCAAAACATATGCTAAGAGCACAACATGAAAGTTCCAGTAGACCTTGTTCAGTCTTAGTGGAATGGATCCTGGTCATGTCTCTCAAATTCCCGGTACGTAATAGTGTGGGTCTTCAAACCAGTGTAAACAGTGGTCTTGTTATTGCACCGCCATGATTTCACTTCTATGAAAGTATAAAAGTAGAGAATTGTATTTTGCTACAAGGTCATGTACATAACTGTTTTTTCTCCTCTTGTTTCATACTACAATTTTAGGAAGGGCCGTGCTGTAAATTGAAATGTGTTCCATAAGGCAAGAGAGTGCTTTTGGTTGATGTTTGGTTTTTAAAACGAGCATGTATTTACAAAGAAAATTAATGAGTGTGCTGTCAGCAGTACCTCTGCAATGTAATGTAATGTAATGCTGTTCAATGCTTGTATCTAATACTCTGTCCTTTTCTTTCCCTGACCCTGTTGCTTCTCCTTTCACAGTGCTCCACACCCAGGGTCCTATTGATGGCAGTCTTTATGCTAAAGTGAGAAAGAAGAGCTCTTCAGATACTAGCATCCCCAGTGGAGCCCAGGGGGTTCCTGTGATCAGCAGCCCTGATCACAGTGACCATACTCTATCTGTCAGCAGTGATTCAGGACACTCAACAACTTCTATAAGGACGGACAAGACCGAGGAGCATCCTGCACCGGGAATCAAACGGGGCTTGAGCCCACAAGAGAAGGCAGAGCTGGACCAGCTACTTAGTGGCTTCGGCCTAGAAAACTCAGTCAGTCCCCTCAAGGATATGACTGATGCCCAAAGCAAGTACAGTGGGACTCGCCACATAGTGCCAGCTCAGGTTCATGTGAACGGACACACCAAACTGAAGGATAGGGAGACAGATATTCTGGATGATGAGATGCCCAGCCATGACCTTCACAGTGTGGACAGCATCGGGACACTGTCCTCCTCTGAAGGGCAGCACTCAGCCCACCTTGGAAACTTCAGCTGCCACAAGAGCAGTCAGAATTCGCTGCTCTCAGATGGCTTTGGAAGCAACACTGGAGAGGACCACCACAGTGCTCTGGCCCCTGACCTGGGAATAGGTGTGGACCCCCTGTATGAGAGATCATTTGGAAGTGGTGAGCCTAAGCAATCCCAGCAGCTGCAAAGGAATCCTCCTGTTTCCGCTCAGCCTCAGGCTTATGGCCCTAGTAACTACTCTACCCAGACTTGGGTGCGCCAACAGCAGATGGTCACTGCTCACCAGTACACCTACTCCCCTGAGAGTGAAGTAAGGCTTGGCATTCCTAGCACTGTAGAGAATTCAGGCAATGTGCAGAGCCAGCCCAGAATCCCTGACACACCCACCCGGGGATCCAGCAGCAGAGATGCTGTGCAGCGGGGGATAGGGGCTGTGCCGAGTTCCAGTGAAGTAGCAGAACACCCAGTGCCCGAGGCTTTTAAATCCAGATTAGTAGCCGAGAAAGACACAAATGGCCTGGCTTTAGGAGTGAATGCCGAGGACCTACCATCCTCTCCTACTCTGGATATCGACCAGTCAATTGAGCAGCTGAATCGGCTGATCTTGGAACTGGACCCTACATTTGAACCTATCCCGACCCGCATTAACACAGTCTCCAGGGACACGAGTCAAGTGAATGGCTTCACCAGCCCTGATGGGGATGTGGGAGGGCTCAGCGTGAGCCCTGGGTTCCGTGAGAAAGGAGAGGTCACAAACAGGAATCTTTCCCGGCATGGTAAGTTATTTTAATAATACATGAATGCAATGCTTTTCCCAGCATTTTTTCTTTTGATATCGCACAGCAGGAACAGAGGACATTGCTTATTACTTTCAGATGATTGCCAGTGTGAGATAGATTATCTCTGGTACCCTCTTTTCATAGTGATCTGTGGAATGAGGGGATGAAACTGAATAATCATTCATCTTTTTTTTTTTTTTTTTTAATAAATGTTTTTTTCCGCCAAGATCATAAGTGCCTTAGGAGGCTGCTCTTCTGAGTTTTTTTTTTTTAAATGTAATACTCCTGAACAAAACCTAATTGTTCAGTAGAGTTCCGTGGAAGAGCCGCAAGAATGATTGTTGCTGTTCCTCCTCTAAGGGGGAGAATTAAAAAAATGGAAAATCCTATTAATTACAATGTGAGGCAGTTTTGTGGAGTCATCAGCAGTAACACTGAAGTTAAGGTTACATTATAATTTCCACATAAAATGTGATGGAAATTCCTCTGTTTTATGTATTTCTGAATTAATTTCATCTCCAAATTTGGCACAATAACCCTTCATGGCACAACTGAACTTCCTGTGAATATTTTCATTAAAATAGCCTAATAACTTCTGCAGATCAAATATTTTAAAATGCTCCCTTTTTTGAAATTTTGCTCTGTTTTTTTTCTTTTCTTTGGGTTTCCAGTAGTTTAACAACCCCATGCATTACCTCTGGTTTTCACCTTAACGTGACCACAAAAACCAGTTACTGAAAGATCAAAATACAACACCATTCTTCCTCATTATATCACCTGAATAACAGTACTAGAATAAACAACTGTGCAAAATGATAAACACTATCACAGCGTATTTCTATTTAATAACCAACTAATTCCTTCTATTAACACAATACTTAAACATGTAACCATCAATTAAAAATCTACACCATACACACTAACTAACCATCTACTTTAGTTTAAGCCCAATCTGGTATTCCAAACAATTAGAAAAATGACCATGCAACTCCACATAGTTGCAGTTCAGTGTTACATGTTTTGTGTGGGCGTGGAGGGCAGAGGTATTTGTTTCGTATGGGGTGGGTGTTGGTGAGGTAATGTGGAGGAGATGAAGTCGTGGTTGCACGTTACAAGGGCTGGCTAAAGACTAGGGATTTCTTGGCTTTTTTAAGGTTGTGCTGGGCAACTTTATTTATTTATCTGGGCAACTTTAACTAGATTTTAACACAGAATTTTTGTTCAGGGAATATCTTAGACTGAAATACATTCGTCTATAATTGACTTGAATCTTTAAATGCTTAGTTCAGTGCAGAAATTAAAAGTGAGATTTGCCCATTAGAAACTACGCTGCCCTTTGACATTCAGTGGAGCCAGTGAAGGGGAAGAGAGAGTAGGATAAAATAAGCCACCCATTTTTATCCTTTGATTAAACATTTGTGCCTAGAAAGAATTGTTTGGTTTTTGCTCATGACTTCTAATACTCTCAAAAAGGAAAAAGGAGTCAACATCGCTGCATCACATGTATGAAGCCAGATAAGCGTTTTGCCCACTACAGGTTGTACTTGGCGGAAGTGAAGTCTTTGGTGGGACATGTTCTGGAAGTGGACATGCAATTAAAGAAGATGAAAAGTTTAAGCACAATGGTTACTATATGTTTATAGAAATCACACCGATAGGTAGTTACAAAGAGGGAACGTGCCTAGTAGAATGAGCACAGTGATAGGAGTCAGAAAACTCATAATCATGGCTTTACCACACTAACATGCATGCCTCTAAGCAAGTCATTTTTCTGTGCCGTGTCTAAATGAAGAATACATTTTTTAAGCTACCTCACCAGGTTTTGTACATCCTCATTAGATGTTTGTATTATACTGTGCTTTGAACATACAGTTATATGTACCGAGGCTGTAATCCACTTCCCAAGCATGCCAATGAAAAGGCTCCCTTCAGTTGATTTAAATGAGAATTTAATCAGTTCCTATAAGACTGTTCTAGTAAGAACAATTTATAAACTAAAAGAAACACATTTAAAGTGCTGCATAAGTGCCAATTGTTATTACAATCCAGCTGTTCTTGGCATTCATTGATTTCCTTCTGTAACCTCAACCTACACCCCAAAAGTAATAATTTTATGCATTCCACCTGAAATACGTGTTCTTGTGATTTAAGAGTATCATCTAGCATTTTGTTCACAGTTCTGTTATGTGTTCAACACCTTAGCAGACTGTAAACAGAATAGTCAAATATTGAATAGTTTTGGTGTGTCTGTTTTGTTGTTTGTTTCAGGGAGAAAGCATGTTTCGGGGGGAGGGATAGCTCAGTGGTTTAAGCATTGGCCTGCTAAACCCAGGGTTTATGAGTTCAGTCCTTGAGGGGGCCGTTTAGGGATCTGGGGCAAAAATCTGTCTGGGGATTGGTCCTGCTTTGAGCAGGGGCTTGGACTAGATGACCTCCTGAGGTCCCTTCCAACCCTGATATTCTATGGTATAATTTTTTTTTTTCTCTAATTGCACAGGATCAGCTGCGGCCACCTTTCACAATTCCTGATTTTCTAATTCTCTTTGATAGGGCCAAAATAAGCAGCATGAATGATTTGGGTGCGTGTCTAGACCTGACCTCTCCTCGAATAGACACTTGATTTTTCTCCCTCTTCCCTCAATTTATATCTGTTGTAAATGTAGGTAGGTGTACAATACAAGAAAAGAATATGTTATCGGAATGCAAACAAAATACCTGCCAAACCCAACTCCCACAAACTCTCTTTAAACAACCATCTCAGCGAAAGCCTGGGTAAATACTCCTTGCAGCATGCCCTGAATGTCAATGAATGCTGTTCTTTGGAACAATAATTGCATTGCCCCCAGTCCTCAGACTAGGGAGCCTCACCATCAGCATCCCAGCTGATCGCAACTGTTCTGTAGTGCTAGGGTTGCCAACTTTCCGATTTCAGAAAACCGAACACCCTTTCCTCACCCCCTGCCTCGCCCCTTCTCCGAGGCCCCGTCCCCGCTCACTTCATCCCCCTCCCTCCATTGCTCGCTCTCCCCATCCTTGCTCACTCACTCATTTTCACCAGGGTGGGTGGGGGAGGGGGTGCGGGCTCTGGGAGGGAGTTTGGGAGCGGGAGGGGGCTCAGGGCTGGGCAGGGGTGTGGGGTGTGGGAGTGGTGCGGGCTCCGGGCAGCGCTTACCTCTATAATATTCTACACTTATTGTAGTTTCCAAATGGTCTTCAGGTACTCCACCATGTAGAACATATTGCAGAAATCCAATGTGACTATTACAATACAAAGAAGTACTTTAACAAAAATTATGCATAATTTACTACAGAACTAGTAATACTGGATTTATCTTCTCTGCGATCTAGAATTTTTCTTTTTCATTTGTTCATATTTAAAAGAACAGGAAATAAGACTTTAAAGTTGAGAGCTCTAATTCCAAAACTTCTGTCGAGGTTTGAGAGAGAATTCATCCTCAAGTTCTCATAGTTCAGCATCAATAGCTGCTCAAATCTTCCTTTGCAGAGAGTTAGAAAAGATTTTCAAAATACCCTTTGGAACTGTCCATTATACAGATATGTGACTTAATTAAAAACGATAATGTTTTAGGTATGTTGGATCTCAGTGCTCATCACTCTTCTGGATTTGTTGGCAAGGTTGGGACCAGGTGATACTATCTTTTCTTGTTGTGGGTTCAGATTTTGGATCAATGAGTGATTTTCAGATCATCACTTCATGTTATTTAAATAGGTTGTTCTGATGGAAATGTGGCAAGCGGGAGAGGGACTGGATGGCTCAGGAGACTGCTAATGGCCGGAGACTTTCTATCTCATTGGCCTAAATTCAGCCCATAAATGTAGTGACTGAAAGATGTTAACATCTTTCTTCTTTTAACTCTGTGAAATGAGTTGGTTACTTTAGCACACTTTATCTCCAGTACATAAACACATTCAAAATCATCACTAATTCACAGCAACACTGGATGGCAAAAAGGCCAAATATTTATTGGCCAGTGAATGAGACTCAACTGCCCTTTAGATCTTCATTGCCTTAATTTGGAAGGCTCCCATTGACTATGGGCTTTGAGTCACCTTGTGTGGGTGAGGAGACTTGAATATCTGGGTAATAAAAAGGGTTAATGGTTACCCCCCTGCCTTCAAGACTAGACATAAAAATTTGGACCCAGATGTAGACCTTGTCTGTACTACAATTTCTGCCAGAATGGCAACATCACCGAGGAGTATGAAAAATTCACACACCCCAGGGCGACATAGCTATCCCTATTCAGGCAAAGCTCCCTAGTGTAGCTGCAACTAAGCCAAAAGAAGAATTTTTCTGTTATGCTGTCTGGCCTGTAGGGAGAGCACCGCTCACTATACTTAAGCAAAACAAGCCGCATGGGCCCCAGGTTTCTGATTGTTTCTGATTCCAACTAGCTGAGGCTCATGGAGGGGGAATGAAGATCAGGCTCACAGTACACTGATGCAGGCCTGTTCCTTCCTTGCTGTCATCTTGTCTGAATCCAGGTTCAGTACTGCTGTTGTACCCAGCCCCCTTCCAGGCGCCAATATTTCCCTCCAAAGACCTAGCAGACAAATCTGGAGAGACAGGAGGAGAGGAAATAGAAGCGATTGATTTGGGATGGAGAGAACTGACAAGTCAGGACTGAATGGTGACTGAATGAGGTTGACTGGAAGTCTGGAAGGATGACTCACTGAGAATATGCAGTGACTTGGCAGGTGCAGGGGTGAATGGGGTAGAGTCGGGCTTTGTGTAACTGAGTTGGGGGGGGTTGAAAAGTAAGTGAGTGGAGGGTCTGGCATGTGTATGAGAAGTAGGTGTGAAGTGTGCATGAAAAAGAGAATGTGCGTGTCAAAAAGCACATGAAGGTGATCTTGGATGGGGGGGCTGACCTGTGTGCACACACAGACACACACACTCTTCTCTAAATTCACTTTCACACACTCATGGACTGACACACACTCACTCTTTCACTTATTTATCCTGGGGTACTTTC